TATGAGAAATAATATTTTTTAATAAACCCTTTTTCATTCGACATACTTTATCTTAATCGAGATATTAATAAGGAACCAGCAGATCAAGTAGCTTTTGGAATAAAACACCAATTTTTTTAAAATTAAACACTATCTAAAGATTTGCATCGAAGCGTTTATTTTTGATAGTGATTTTAATCACTGTGACTACCAAATTTTAGACTAAAAATGTTTCTCTTAGAAAAAATTTTAACAACAAAAATTTGGCATCAAAATTAATATTTATTATAAAAATTTTTCTTCTTCTTCTTTCTCACCTTAATTCCAACTACATGGGGTCGGCCACCTTTATCCTAAATTTCAATAACATCTCTCCATCTCTTTTTTGGTCTTCCTCTCCTTCTTCTTTCTTCAACATTCATTTCTAAAACTGTTCTTGCAGCTTCTGATTCTTCTCTCCTCATAACATAACCAAACCATCAAAGTCTATTTTCTCTTATTTTATCCATGGTTGACACTACACCTACTCTCTCTTAAATGTTCATTATCCTATCTTCTCTAGTCACTCCACTCATCCATCTAAACATTTTCATCTCTGCTCTATTTTTTTGTCAACCGCTCCACCCTCTGAACCATAGCTGGTTTCACTACAGTCTTACAGAACATACCTTTCAGTTTCATTGTAATTCTCTTATTGTATAGCACACCAGACGCTTCTCTCCACTTCAATCGCTTACCGGTGTATAAAAAATGTTTATAAAAAAAATTTAAAAATTAAAAATTTTAACACAAAAACAGCATATTTTTGAAACGATAACTATGAAAAGTTTAAATTTTTCATTTCAATTTACAATATTTTACATAAACATTAATTTAAGATATATATAAAAGTGTTAGTATTTCAGGAACATTTTCAAAAGTTTAGCTGTACAAGTAAAAAAAAATAATCTAAAATAGTATTTTAGCTTCAATGCAAAGGTATTAATTTTACCATGGTGTGTTTTTTAGCTTCGATGCGAAGCTGAGAAGGTATTGGTTTTATTAAGATGTTTTTATTTTTTTTTTTTTGTGTGTTATCACTTTTTCTCAGCTCTCACCCAACCGATTTCTTTCAATGATACGTCAAAAGATCACAAATCGTATCTAGTTGAAGACATTACCCTCAAAAATTAAAAGTTTTGCCCTCGTTTCCCGTAAATAGTGAAAATCCCTCAAAAAATTACGATTTTTAGAATCGGTAAATTTCGACTTCTGTTTCATTTTTTTTCATAAAAATTACCATAACTTATTGAAAAATGAACAAATCAAATTAATTATGTTTTATATTGAAACGATAGATATTTCCCTTACATTTGATATAAATTTTTTGAAAATCTGACCCTTTACCTGCCCACAGAGAGGGGATTCAAAATAGCAACTTCTGTACAAGAACTTAACTTTTTCAACTTAAGTTTTGAAAATATTTCGGAATTATTTCGAGCTTCAAACATTAAAATAAAGCTAATGTTATGTACTATATGTTCAAAAAAAATATTGTGCCCGCGACATCTCTATGTGAAAATGGTTGCCGTTGTTAAAAAACATGTAATTTTGGTGTTAAAATTTACAATATCATATTTTATTTTTTGAATATTAAATTACTATAACTTTTTGAAAAATGTATGGATCCATACAAACTTTTGTTTCTAAATAAATTATATATACAACAACTTTTTTTGTAAATTGAACCATTTCTTTTTATACAGGAGGGCTTTAGATTTTTAAATATACGAGTGAAAAGTAGAGCTTTTTTAACTTAACTTTTGAAAATGTTCCAGAATGAATTTTATTTCTGAGCTATTGTTTCTACAATGTAAAAAAGTCATTATTAATGTTATATTTTTTTATACAGTACTGGTATGGTTGCATAAACCATTTTGCCGTAGAAAATATTATTTTTGAATCTTCAACATTTGATCATATTGTCATCTTTTGTTTTAATAATTATCTTTAAACTGATAATAATCTAGTTCAAACTTTTTTCGTTAAATAGGATATTTAAAAATGTTTAAAACCAAGCCATTTTTATAATGATAAATACATTTTTAACTATTTAAAACTACGATATAAAATAGTAAACCCATGTAACATGAACGAAGTATTGTAGTAGGAGGTTTGCTTGTAATAGTGGTAAGCCTCCATACACGGTCATTTTTGAATGACAATGAACGTGATTGACAGTCAAGTGTGATCATTGACTGACGATTGATAACAACCATATACGGTCAATCAAAACTGCCAATCTTTAGTCATTCGGTTATTTTATTTTAAAATCAACAAAATTGTCACTATTAAAAGTGTGGTGTATCGAGTTGTTGTATTAAATTTTTCTTTAAAAAATTTTTTTTAATATTTAATTTAAATTTGTGTTAACATGAATAAAGAAGGTATTATTGGAATTGCTATTTACATTGTGTGTGATAAAATAAAAAAAACTGAAATGAATAAAAAGAGAAAAAAAAGGTACTGAATGAAAGAATGGTTCAAAAAAAAGGAACACATTTTCCCATCATAATCTTCGATGAACTTCGACTATCTTCTCCATCTGACTATAGAAATTATCTCCGCATGGACCCCACGACATTTTCGAAATTATTACAGATGATCACATCAATGATAGAGAAACAGAATACTTGTATGCGAGAACCAATTTCATCGGACCAGCGTTTATCGTGTACCCTACGATACCTGGCACCGGCGTTAATTTCGAAGAACTTAACTTCATTACCGCAATCACTCTACAAACAATTGAAAAAATTATCATTGAAATATGTAAAGCTATAACAACCGCACTAAAAGACAATATAAAGGTAAGTAAATTTATTTATTTTTAATTCATTAAATAAAAGTTCAATTTTTAAAATATTTAAAGGAAAAGTTCAATCAAGGTCTAATTATGTATAGCTTATATAACAATATTATCAGAACAATTAAATACATTTATTTATTTGTTTCGACTGTTAGAAAAAAAAAGTAAGTCATCTTAATTTGTGTATTGAGTGTCGGTAAGAAGTTCACTGAAACTATTATAAGCTATTGCGTTTGAAACGTTTGGAGTCTCCCATGTATGACCACAGTGATGAATTTGAATTTGTAGATATATATACAGGCGCAGGTTGAACAAACGTAGATGATGTTGAAGAGCGCGAACATACACAAGAAAGATTAATTTTCACTGAATTACGATAGAGAGTTTTTAAGCAGGCTTCAAAAAGGACATCGTTTATTACTTTTTGAGCAAACAGTTGCTGATCAGGTTCAAGTTTTTGTAATTCAATTGCCCATGACTTCGCTAAAATGTCGTTATCAGATATGGATTGTTGTAGGTGATTGCATGCCAATTCTAATAAATCATTCTTCCTCTTTTCTTCAGAATTTTCAGTATTTTTTATGGTTCGTGTGAAGTTGTTTTAGGAGTTGCAGGATGGCTCGTTGTAAATATATCTTCCTGTAAATAAAATAAAAATAAAACATTTAATAAATTAAATACAAAAATAAACTATAAATAACCAAATTAATCTGCTATATTAAATCCATATGTTTACATATTTTTACATGTGCTTTTTTTTATTTTAGATACCTGCTACAGAAGAAGAGTGGAAAATAATTTCTAATGAATTTGAATTTAAATGGAATTTTAATCATTGTTTGGGAGCGATCGATGGCAAACATATAGAGATAATAAAGCCTCAACAATCTGGCTCGTATTTTTTCAATTACAAACATACGTTCAGTGTTGTTTTGATAACCATTGCAAATGCTAACTACGAGTTCATTATAGTGGATATTGGTGCAAATGGACGAGTTTCAGACGGTGGCATATTTTCAAATAATTTGTTTTACAAACATTTTCAAGAAAAAAAATTAAAGATTCCGGAACCGGATTATCTATAAGGAATAAGTGACAAATTGCTTTATGTTTTTGTAGCGGATGATGCTTTTCCGCTTTCAAATAATCTAATAAAACCCTATCCACATGGAAATTTAAGCAAAAAAAAAAAAACGTATATTCAATTATAGATTGTCGAGAGCTCGAAGAACAATTGAAAGTACTTTTGGAATTCAAGCATCACGATTTCAAATACTTTTAAAAACAATAAATTTAAAAACCACAATAATCGTTCGTGCCTGCTGCCATATTCACAACTTTTTACGTCGACATAAAATGGAAATATTTTTACAGGACAGATTCGATTTTGAAAATATTTTAACAGGAAATGTGGAACCGGGAAATTGAAGAAGTCAATATGAGCAATTGGGTCAGCTACAGCCTTATCAAGGTAGAAATTCATCAGTAACAGCCAAAAAAATATGAGATCATTTTTGTAATTATTTCAATAACGCTGGGGCAGTCCATTGGCAAGACAGTTTAGTCGACTATAATATTTAATTATTTTTATATTACTTTTCTTCTTTTCGTTTATAAGTATTAATATTTTTACACGAGTTATAAATAAACTAAATTTAAAATAGTTAAAGAATAAAATACCGATAATATTATTATGTACTGTATTTTCATTTGTAATAGTTATCATTTTTTGAATAAACACTTCAATATTTCTTTTTTTGTATTATTATTTATATGACCAGTGCATGGGTATGTGTATTTTAAAATAGATACGCCATAAACGCGTTAACTTCGAAAAAATAACTAAATTTAACCAATATTCAATAACAATAAATATCTATGTATAATAATGTTATTACGTACTGTATTTTCCAATGTTACGTCTTGAGGATCATTACTTTCTTCATCCATTATTGATGTTCCACATATTTGCATTTCGTGGTCCCGTAAAAACTCCAACTCTTCAAAATACCAAACCGACGGCATGTATATATCCTCGGTACCTGCACCGTATTATTCACTCTCTATAACCTTTTTCAACTCACGACGATAATTTGATATCAATGTATTGATTTTTTTTTTTTTGTATTTGTCAGCTGTTGGATCTATTTCATTTAATTTGTTAGTTAATTATAAACAGCATTCTTGCTTAAAAATTCTATTTTTGTATACATCACTTTTTATTTTCCACGTAGCAGGTAAGCTACAGTGTAAATGTATAAATTCGCGCCAAAATTCTTCATTATTCACCTTATTTGCCATTTTTGGACGAAAATATAAATTTACGAAAAGGGAATACGCAAGACAAAAAAGACTCAACTGCTTCACACAATTTGACTTGATTGACTGATAAAGTGTACATTCATAGACATACATGGTCAATCATGAATGTCAATCATCTTGACAGATAATAAAAATTCAAACATGTTTAAATTTCATCAGTCACAAAATTTGACTGTCAGTCATCAGTCATCCATATACACGGTCAATCATGAATTTCAATCACGTTAATTGTCATTCAAAATTGACCGTGTATGGGGTGCTTTATTCAGTATGCACTGAAACTTCAAGTCTTATAGAATCTCTAGCTATATACTAAATAAGTTACTATTTTCTACAATCTCAATAAGAAATAGCTTATAAGTCTTATCAATACAAACTGTCGCCGCGACTTATATTTTGCAAGTCTTACGAAATGAACCGATAAGTTAGTGTTACTACAGATAAGATAAAGCTTTATCTTATCTGTAGTGTAATCATACTTGTCATTACATAAAAAATGTACTTAGTATAATACTATTTAATGTCGCGTTGTAAATTTAATTAAAGAATATTTAATTCCATATAGCTAATAAGAAAGTTTTAGCCTTATTTTATCATCTTATTACAGATGAAATTGCTATATTTTTAAGTGTAGTATTTTACAATTAACAAATTTTTTTAATTAAATTTGATATCCTTTTTTAAATTAAAATGTATGTGTTTACAATTGTTTTGTTGAATATGTCAATGTATTTTCATTATTTTTTGAGTACAAAATAATTTGTGTTTATTTTTTAGGGTTAATTAATGTGTTTAATTTAATTTTAAATATTTAAAATGGCAACAGAAGTTCCTAAATATGGCTGGAAAGTTAATTTTAATTTTAAATGTCCTGATCCAAGAACTGCAAGTTATGTACCAAGAATAAAGCAAATTATTAATATGTTGCCACTTATTATTAGGTAAAAGAAAATAATAGGTTTTAGTAAATTTAACTAATTTATTTAATAGATTAGTATGATAGATTAAGTATAAATTTAATTTACGAATTATTAAAAAAAATATAGTTTTTTATTTTGTTAATAAAATAATTAAATTAATCATTGATATTCTTAAGATTTTCTGTTTGATAGAAAAATAAAATTTAACTTAATGAGTTAAGTAATTTCTTTTTAGATGTTTTTAAATTTTTTATATTTTAAGTTTTTAAAGTATTTTAAAATTATCTATATTTTACTAGTATCTGTTTTGCATATTGCATAAATGTTGAAATGCATATTTAAAATTTTTTTTGCTCTAATATTCAAAAGCATTGTTTGTTTCCAAAATTATTTGAACATTTGTGTTCATGTATTATTTCTTTTTAAATTTTCTGAGGAGAGTTATCTTTTGATATACTTTTAAAATGTATAATTAAACATGTTTATTTTAGAAAAAAATTTTCTGTTTAGATACATTGTTTATATGATTATATGTTTTATCAAAGGTAAAAAACCGATTATGGATTTTTATTCTCCAGTTCAATCTAAACATATGTATGGTAAGTATTTAATTTATTTTTCTACTGTAATATAAATAAATAGTAATATTTAAAAAAGATATGTAAGTACAATATATAGTGATTTGAATAAGAAATGTATTCCTATCACTTATGTATTATGAATATGTATTAATAATATAAACACAGGTGCATATTAAAAAATTATTTTAGGGTACTCAAGGGGTATGAGCTCTATAAATTTGTCTCTGCTTTAGCATAAAAAATAATAGAATTGTTAATATGAAACTAAGTTAAATTTTACTATCTGTGTGACTTTTATATTTTAATTACTATTATTTCATATCATGTTCATTAAAAGAAGTATTCATTTTATAGGTGTACCACTTGGTGGTATAGGCGGAGGAACAATTGGTCGTGGTTTCAAAGGAGAATTTTGTCGTTATCAAGTTGTTCCAGGAATGTATGAATATGAAACTATCCGTGCAAATCAATTTATTGTTAATGTTCAAAATTCTGAAAATATCACCATATATAATAATGTTTTGTCATCATTGAAGTAAAATTCATTAATTTAATGTTAGATTATAAAGTAAAAAACAATATTAATATTATTCATCTGATAGATGCAACAATAAAACCTTGTATAATTGGAAGTGGGAATTTCCAGAAAATCGTGCTCAGTATACAGGGCTCTATCCTAGATCATGGACTGAATACTTTATACCAGAACTTGATATTAAATTGATCTGTAGACAAGTCTCTCCTATCATTCCGAATAATTATAAAGTAGGTTTCACTTTTAAAACTTAAAACTATTATTAACTAAACTAGTTTCTAATCAAATTACAATTTTTTTTACTAGGACAGTTGTGTTCCTGGTGGAGTTTTTATATGGAATGTGGAAAATAATAGCATTTATCAATATAATATTAGTATAACATTCACATTTGCTAGTGGTAATGGTGTTTCTTCATATAATACAGGTTAAAATTATATGTTCTTGAATAACTAATTTTATATTTAATATTTCATGGTTATTTAGTTAATCAAAATGATATAAAAGAGGTTGCCTTATATTGAATTTATAATAGACTCGATGTGAGTCAAAATTTTAGTAATGCACTTAAAACATTGAGTACAATCCTATGAAAAAAATGTTTAAAAATAAAAAAAACTTTTTATAAAATCCAACACTTATTCATAGAAGTAACTCTTAAAATACTGATAGTCAAATAACTATTTTTTTAATATAAATAGTCTGCTCTTCAATAATATTTTATTACTAGTTACTACAAGATCTGAACAAAAAGTATCCAAATTTTTTTTAGACCATTTATTTTTTTAGATATAGCAAAAAAGGGTTGTTAAAAAACCTGTATAAAACATAAGTAAACGTTTAAAATGTCTCAAGTAAATTTCTAAATGTTTGGTGTTTTAAATAATCATTTTTTATAATATAACAACCCTACATTAAAGTAACAAAAGTTCCTTTCAAAGTATTCTCTCCCAGACTATGCAATTTTCCTACTAGTGCTACCCTTGTTGGAACATTTTTGAAAAGCTTCTTTTGGAATCGCCTTTAGACAGTTTGTCACATTCTACATCATTTCTTCTTTTGATTAAAATGGGTGCTTCTTAAATGCCATTTTTAATGTAGGAAACAGACAGAAGATGCAGAGAGTCATATCTAGTAAGTAGAAATGCTCCCAAAACACTACATCTTTATATTTTGTCAAAAAACTATTAATAATAAAAAATGAATGTGCTCGAGTGTTATTGTGATGAAGGAGCTAAGTTTCTACTAACCACACTCTGGTCATCTATACTGCACAGCATTACTAATGTAATGTATTAGCTGATAAAAAATATCAGTGTATACCTAACATGTTAAATCTTGTCTGTTCTAAAATATGTCTCTTTGTTTTGAGTTTGTAGTTCTTAAAAAAATAAAGTCTGGTACTTTTTGAATAGACGTTATGTATAAATTACAGTGATATATATATATGAAGTTACATAAATTGTTTAAACACTTATTATTTATAAATATTTGAAATGAAAAACATTTTAAATTCTTACAAAAACCAAAGGTATTATTTTATGCAAATTTATTATAATATGTTATGAATTTTAACATTTTTTAAATAAGAGGTTTAATTAAAAAGAATAAAATTGTTTTTCTCAGTTTGAAAATTATTGAATTGGTAGATTTTTCTCCCTGAATATATTAATATATTAATTTGCCAGTTGTGTATAAGTTACATTTAAAATATTTATTTTCAATCTAATTTTTAGATGAAGCTAATTGTGAACCATTTAATATAAATGAAGATGGAATGGAAGTTGCTGGTTCACTGATTCATAATTTTTTTAGAAATATGAAATGTACTTATGTTATTGGTGGTATAGTTAAGGTAAAACGTATAAATTTACTTTTGATATAAATTTGTAGAAACAGTTACTGTACATGGATAATATAATTTAATAGTAATATGAAGTGAAAATTATTGTATAATACTTTTAGCATAATGGAACTTTTAGTCAAGCAAATTTTGATCCTAATAGTAATGGAATTTCTATATCAAAAAGTTTAAAGTTATTTGGAGAACTTAAAGCTATAGAGATTGATCACAATAATATGTTTAGTATGGAATAAGTTTTTATAATGGATAAAATATTGTTGACTGCATTATAAAAATTTAATTGTAACATTTTTTAGTGAAAAATAAAGAAGTTGCTAGTGCAATTTGTATTAAAAAATGTGTAAAACCACACATATCTGAAGACTATGAGTTTGGATTATTTATAGATATGCCTAAAATAAAATTCCCAGCATCAAATATTGAGTATTTAAGGTAATACTCTATATATTATTTACTTGTAATTTTAAATCAATGGCAATTAAAATTTCTTCTTCTATGGGTTTAAACAAAATAATTCTTTGACTAAAAAAAATTATTTGTTTAAACATTTGTAATTCATTTAAACATGGCTAGTTTAAAACTAAAATGATGTAGTCAAAGTGATCTTTATTTTTTTCTGTTAGTAATATCATCATCAACTCCATAAACTATATTCTAACTATTTGGGGTCGGCTCTATCTTACAATGATTTAATAGGAAATTTAACCAGATGTTAACTTAACGCAACCTCAATATGGCTGAGGAAATACTTGTATTATTTTTAGTAATACAATTATTTATGATTTAATTTAGAAGGAATTGTTTTTTGTGTACAAAATATTATGAATTTATTTTAAATTATTAAAATGTTATAGGTATTACACTAAGTTTTTTGGATGTGATAATAAAACAGGTCCTAAAATATGTCATTACTCTATGAAAAAATATAAGTTTTGGGAAGAAGAAATTGAAAAATGGCAAAACCCTGTTCTCAAAAATGTGTATGTATCTTTATAAAAATGTATATTAATTTACTAATATAAATTTATTTATTCATTAATACGTAAAATATAGATTTCATTATTTTACTTTAATTAAAAAATGTATTATAAATAATAATCTTTTAAATAGTAAATTTATTTTATTAAATATTAAGAGATAAATAGAAGAAAAAAGAATTGTCTAAGTTTCTTTTGAATGTGGAGGAAAACTGTTCAGATCTTTTAGAAATGTATCCATGTGGTGCAGAGTTTCTGACATATTAAAGTTGAGGTTCATATAAGAGAGGTATTTTATAAAGTTTGAATGTTCTGATATCAAATTAAGACAATGTTCATCTGTCTTTTTGATTAAAAGGAAACAGTACATTAAGAACACATTCCACTATGATAAACATAGGAAAGTTCTTTAATGGTTTTAAATGAATTTTGCATAAATCACATGAATTGGATTAATCCTTCATTATAACTATGTGTTATGACCAGTCATTACTATTTAAAAGCTTTGGCTATAAGAAATAACCCCTCCTCAACCCTTCTTCAGGTTTGATTCTAGTGAACATTTAAGGAGAGGTGAAATGTTTTCTGAGTGCTTTAAACCCTAAAAATTCCAGGGGTGCTTCTAAAAATAGAAGAAGTCTTGGAAAAATTGTATGCAACTTGAAGGGTACACCAGGTGTAGGTGTTTTAAAATTTTTTATTCGATTTAATAAAAGCAATAATACTAAAGCTTTAAATTTTTAGCATTTGCATATTAATTATTAATTTGTTTCAGAAAATCAATAAATTTAGAAAATACAAAATTTTATATTGCATATTTTTACATACATTAAAGTATATTGATTTTTATGTTCAGGGCTATTTTAGTATTATAACTAAAAAAATAAAAAAAAAAAGGTTAAACACAGAAAATTGTTCTTTTCATTTTCTCAGTATAATACCAAATAAAAATATCTGTAATAAAAGCATATGATCTATCTCCCTTCATGGCTGAATATAAGCATTATTATTTAGCTTTAAAAAATGTTTATTAGAAAATAAAAATAATTAAAATAGTCTTCAATATTTTTCTGTTAAGAGTGTAAATTTTTTTTTTTTATGAATTATTTAAGTCTTAATTGTAATAAAATTTATAGATTATTACCAGATTGGTATAAAAGTGCTATATTCAATGAATTGTATTATATTGCTGATGGAGGTTCTGTTTGGCTATTACCTACTAAAGAAGATTATAATCATTTAGATGTTTCTGATCCAAGATTTGAATATGGATATTTTGGATACTTGGAAGGTCATGAATATCGTATGTACAATACATATGATGTTCATTTTTATGGTTCTTTTGCATTAGCAACACTTTGGCCTAAGTTACAATATTGTATTCAGTATCAAATTCGTGATACAATCAATGATACTTTGCAAATTTCAAGAAAACATTTAGTTAATGGTGTTGTTGGTTTGCGAAAATATAAACATAGTGTACCACATGATTTAGGAGATCCTGGTAATTTCAAAAATTTTCTCGTTGATCTATTAAATAAATAAAGTTATATGTATTTTAAATTATTATTTTTATTTTTATTATTATTTTATTTATGTTAAATGTTGTCTCTTATAAGCTATGGTTGTGGTAAGTAGGATGAGAAATTTAGTTAGCCTACCACAGTTTAATTAAACCTAGATACCATACTATTTAACAATATTTAATAAATAAAAAAAATATTTTTTATTAAATATTTAATAAAAATAAAAGTAATTTATTTTTAATTTTATTTAATTCAATTAGAGGAAGATCCATTTAATTTAATCAATGCTTACTTGGTTCATGATGTATCTGAATGGCGAGATCTAAATTTAAAATTTGTGTTGCAGTGTTATAGAGATTACACTTTGTTTAAAGATAAAAAATATTTATATGATATGTTTCCACAGGTAAATATTTAATCTATTTATAATAAAATAATTACTGTAATTTTATAATACAATTTTTCTTATTGAGATTTAAAAATTGTCAATGTTTTACCACCTATTTCATTTCATTACAACACCATATTAAAAAAAAATTTTTTTTTAACTTGGAGGAAGTTTGTTTTTGAACATATAGTATTGTAAAAATATTTTTCATTAAAGGAGAGCAAACCCCCTAATCTCCCTAACACTATATCCTTAGTTAAAAAATATTACTATGTTTTTAAACTTATTCATAAAAATTTGTTGTCCTTAGCGATTTATTTGGAATAACATAATAAAATGTATAAATGCATATATATATATATCTGGACTCTACCCTTAACTATGCACATCAAGCACTACAGTTTTACTGGTTATGCCACAAGGTCCCTCTATTTATTTAATTTATTAAATTAATTTTATTTTTTTATTATTCTTATGTTTTGATACATATTTTGTAAGATTGAACATGTTATGGAGAGATCATTACTTTGGGATACTGACAATGATGGCATGATTGAAAATTCTGGATCAGCAGATCAAACTTATGATACTTGGATTATGACTGGTGTTAGGTAATGTTTAATCATAACTATCTGACAAATTTTTATATATTTATAATTTATATTCATAAATAAATATTTAATTGTATATATATGTATTAATGGTACAATGTCAAACCTATACATTGCATAGGTTTAATTTATATTTTAAAAATGTTTAAAATATTTCTATTTTGATTTATTAACTTTAGTGCTTACTGTGGAAGTCTATGGTTAGCAGCTCTTTATAGTACAATCCAAATTGCTAAAATATTAGAATATGACAATATAATTGCTAAATATTCAGAAGTATTATTAAAAGCCAAAACATCATTTAATAATATTCTTTGGAACGGTAAATGCTATTTTTTCTTTTTAAAAGTTTTTTAATATACTAAGAATTTATTATTAATAACTACAGTGGTAATTGTTAAAAATATATCTGAAGTAAAATTCATTTTATAGTTCATCAATAGTTTATTTTAGATATGTATTAACATAGATCGACAGATATTTTCTGGGACTACTAAATATATTTAAGGGGTATATTAAAGTTTATTTATACATTTTATTGTAATGTATTATCTTATGTTACATTTGAAATGAGCATAAAAAAATTGTTCTACATTAGTATTTTAGCTTCAATGCAAGGGTATTAATTTTACTAGGTTTTTTTTTTTTTTTTGTGTGTTAGAACTTTTTTTTCAGCTCTCAATAGACTGATTTTAATTAACAATACATCAAAAAATCACAAATAGTACCCAGTCGAAAAATTGAAAAATTTCCCTCATTCTCCGTAAATAAGGGAAATCCCCCATAAAATTACAAATTTAAAAATCTATAATTTTTGACAACTTTTTTTACTTTGAACTGCCATTACTTTTTGAAAAATTGTTTTTTTATAGATACATTAGGTATTTACCTATCATTTGGTATATTTTTTTGAAAAACTGATCTTTTACCTACCCACAGGAGATTCAAAATGATAACTTTTTCAATTTATTTTTTAATTTTTTTAACAACTTTTTGATTGGTTTTTCTAGTTAAAAAAAATTATTAAAAATAATTAAGTTCTTAATAATTTAACTATAGAATTTATTTAAATACCAGAAGTTACTTAAAAATGATTACTATGATTTCAATTTAAGTGACTTATTACGATAAAAGTGCAAAAAAATATTTTGTTTTTCTGGTAAATTTAGTGTGAGTAGTAATTATAAAGTTTCCTGAGTGCATATTAATATTAACAATACCAATTCCTTAATTTTCTAATTAATGATGTCAATTTCAAACTTACGAGTAGAGCTATAAGTTATGGTAATTTCAATCCTAACACTTATAATCAGGATATACTAAGAATATAAGAGTACATATTGCTTTTGGAATAATCCACCAATTTTTAAAAATTTATCACTATCTACAGATTTGCATCAATTTGCATCAAATGTTTCTTATGATAATGATTTTAATCACTGTCAGATATTATTTATACTTGTCCACACTCTGCTGCGACCCCACTGTGCCACCATTTTTTTTTTCATAAATACTTTATGTTTACTCTAGTACAACCTTTTTTTATTATAAACTTTCATAAAAATCAACTTTAAAGTACTAAAAAATAATTTAAAATATTTTTTTTTTAATGTAAATACTCATTTTTTACTATTTAGTAATAAAATCAAAAATTTTGAGTGATAGAAAAACTCTAATTGCACATTTGAAAACAGCAAGAAAAGTTGATTTAGAAAAATATATTTTTGATTTCGATGAAAGTTCCCACTTCCATGACTACTTTATATTTTTATAATTTTTCCATAGAAATTATTGAATATCAATTTCATACTAAATTTAATTAATACAATTAGTATTTTTTCTATATTAAACCTATAAATCAAAGAACTACTAATCAGGGCATAATTAAGGAAATAGGAGCCAATGTTGCTTTTGGAAAACTCATCAGTTTCTTAAAATTAAACACTATCTTCAGATTTGCATCATAGTGTTTTTATGATAGTGATTTTAATGACAGTCAGAAATCATCTATACTTGTCCCAACAATGCCACGTCCACACTAAGCTACTGTTTTTTTTGTTTAATCTATATGAAAGTGAAATTTTTCTGTTTGTGAATTGAACAATTATATCTGTAAGTTTAATATTAAAATAAGTTAAAGTGAAACATTTAGCTACTTTTTAATACAACTATTTTACTGAACTTAAGAGACCAGAAGCTTGTATAAACTTAATCATATTATTCTCAAAATTTAAAATTATTGAAATAAATCAAGGGAACATTATTTCAATTTTACTTTTGGAACAAAAGTGTCTAAAATTTAAAATTATTAAATGTTGTATGTACATATAAATGATCCTACAATTTATAATGTACGTTAAATCACCATAATATATAAATATTTTAAGTACAAAGGTGCAGTTAGAGCTATTTTTTATGAGGGGAGAGTAAATTTAATTTTCTATATTCTAAAAAATATTTGTGTTTAACAATGCATATTTCTTTAGTGTGGCATAATACCCAAAGTCAACCCATGTTACGTAATGAGCAATATTTAAGTATCGTGGCACAAATTGTTTCCAGGCACTAATGGAAATTAAAACTTGTGTACGAATATATATATATATTTGTACAAATACTGAATTCGCTAATATTTATCAAATATTATTTTTTATCATATGTAGAATAATTTAAACAGATTAAAGTTTTTATACTAAAATCAAATTTTGCAAATTTTATTCAGAATAGTTCAATAAGTTAAATTTATTTAAGTAAAAAAAAATTAGCTGATTAAATAAAACATTTATAGGTGACTATTATGATTTTGATTCATCAGGGCAATACCACTCAAAATCTATCATGGCTGATCAATTATGTGGTCAGTGGTATTTAAAATGTTGTGATGTTGAAGAAGAAGTATGTATATTATTATTTTAAATTAAAAACCAATTTAATTTTTAAATAGTTGTATCTTTAAAAACCTTTAAAAAACAGAAAAAATAATTACTGTATTTTAAGTTTTCAACTTCTCAAATTCTTATACCTATAATATTTAATTATTGATTAAAAAAAAAAATTGTTTTATAAGAATGGTTCCAATAGATATTTGCCAAAACCCTGTTAATTTAATTTCTATTAACTAAGTGCGTAGAGTTTGCAGATATACAGACAGTCTACTTGCATCTATTAAGAACATATCGTTTCTTGGTGCGTAAATTTTGGCAGTTCTTGATTATTCGAATTTGTGAAATTATAATTTAAAATATTAGTAATTTAAACAAGAATAAATAAATACTTAAGTGTTGTTTGTCCTAGGTTTTCCCAACTGATCAAGTGTTAAAAGCACTTTCAACAATATATAAATTTAATGTACAAGGGTTCAATGGAGGTACAATGGGAGCAGTTAATGGTATGATGCCTAATGGAAATCCAGATACATATACAATTCAAAGTGAAGAAGTTTGGACTGGTGTTACTTATGCTTTATCTTCATTAATGATCTCACAAGTATGAATGACGTGATTTATATTTATAATGATAAAATTAACTGTAGAAATGTAAAATAAATAGGGATTAAGAGAAGAAGGATTTAATACAGCTAAAGGAATATATGATACTGTATATAATAGTATCGGTATGGCTTATGAAACACCTGAAGCATTTTATTCACAAAAGGCATATCGTTCAGCTGGCTACATGAGGCCACTCAGTATATGGTCAATTCAACTAGCTTTAGAAAATATCAGTAAAAAAATAAAATCTTAAGTATTATTTTTTTATTTATTTGAAGCATGTCTAAGCATAAAAGTTAAAAAATAAAGTATAAAACAAAGATAGTAATGTAAGAATTTTGTTTTTAGATATTATTGATGTAGAACTAGAACAAAACTTTAAATTACATGTTTGATTAGAAATTGTTGTGTTTAACATATTTCTAATTGGTTCCCATGGGCATAGTTTGCACGATTCCTTATTCATTGGAATGACATGTTCATTCAATAAAAACATAACTTTATTACCCTCTTGACATTTATAAAACACTGCTATAATATTTGATGCAAATGGATTTATATATGATATTTTCCATCTTCTATTTTTCATATGATCAAAATTTGTACTAAGTAATGGTGAATCATCTTTTGCAATTCTAAGTTGGGTAACAATACTTAATATGTTTGGTGTATGCCCAAAGTAGAATATCCCTAATGGCCCAATTTGTTTCTGAGTATTATTTCTAAATTTTAATTAAATTATTAAACATTTTTTAATTAAAAAAAAAAAAAATCCTACTTGAAATTTTCTAGTAAATCTTTTACTATTGGACATCCCAGATGTAGTGCTACAGAGTTACCATAACCATTTTTGTAATAATATTTAAGATCTTCCAGATATTCAAGAATCTATTATGTATGAAACATATATTTTAATTATTTAAATGCTGAATAATTATATATATATTTTTTATTTTGAATTGCTAAATTAATATAACATACTTCTAAATCATTTGTTGAAAAAAGTGCACACCATGGAGGATGCGAGTCAGGTGACCAGGCTTTTTCATATTTGCATGACTCAAACATTAACTTAACATCACCTACAATATTTAACATATTTCTTACCATTTATATATTTCTAAAAAATTAGTTGATTAAACTCAAAAATCATTTAGTTATATTGTTTTAAAACTGTACATCTAAATATTGTTATTTTATATTAATTTTGTATTATTTGTGATAGTAATAATTTTATAAATACTATGATAATGATCATGCTTTAAAGGATTTAAATTAAAATAAAATGAATAACATAAATTCCTTAAATTATGACAATATTTATTATTATTTGATAGCTTAGAATAAAGTATTTAAACTTACCATACATAATATTTTGATTAAGTCCCATTTTCTTAGAAACTCTTGATATTACAGATTGTACTAATGGACCTTTTTCAAACTTTTTTACCTCTTCCTCACTTTCCATATTGTCATCGTCATCAATTGCTTTACATTTTGAGAGCTATAAGTTTTGAATAAAGAGTCACACTTGCATTATTATTTTATGAACATACAAGGTTGATTTTATAAACATATTTAATTGTTTTGATCTATGGTAATTTTTAAAACAGTGGTGTAGTTATCGAGTGATGATGAGATCCCTTAGAATTTACATAGTGATGTTACAATTTATTGCCCATAGAATCAGCCGCTACTCAAAATAATGTGGTAATTAATTTTGGTATATTTTAGTTAAATTTTTATTAATATTATTTAGTTATCTAAACTTAAGTTAATTTTGTTGCGTTGTATGATTGTATGAATAATTTATAGACAATAAACAATGCATATAAACAAAACTATACTTTATACTAGATATAAATACATTGTTTTAACAAAAAACTGGAGTTTGTAAATTTATTAATGGTATAATTATAACCGTGGTATTTACTAAGGCAAGCAAAAAATCCAACCGCTTAAAAAATTTACTTCTAAAAGTCACAAAAATTATTAAGGACGAAAATAACCCCTTACAGCGACTTAAAAAAAGATCAAAATATATTTTTTAAATTTCAAAAAAATTTTGATATAACAATTTTTAAATACAAAAAAATTAAATTTTTTTAAAGTATCTACTGAAAAATTATGAAATAATAAGTTAATTTAAATGTAAGCATAACCTAAAAGAAAAAAATTATAAAAAAATAAAAATGTTGAATTCTACTTGTAAACCTCATAAAATAAATCAATATAGTATAATTCATTTTTCGTTCATAAAAAAATTTTTTTTTTATTAATGTATAATTTAACTTACATTAATTCTGTCATCGCTTTTTGATGTTGGTAAATCCATTTTGGGATTTTCGTTAAATAAAGATTGATAAAAAACAGTTGCACTAGCTAATGCTCGTGGTTTAGACGTCGATAAAAACTAAAAATTGTATACATATATAAATTTTAAGTTCGAAAAATACACCCCCCTAGTGATGCAATTAGTGATAAAGTTAGCAAAGTTGTACTTTGTGATCTCAAAGCTATTTTAATATTATTTATTTTAATATTTATACATGTTTACTTTCAAAATAGTCTTCAAAAATTATCATAAGCCAACTTTTAAGTTGAAAAAGTCATTTTATAGCATTTCACTTTGATTATTTAAAATCAAGTTACACTACTGGCACCCTAAATACAATCATTTTTAATAAAAATTTATTTTACTTTAAACTTAGAATCTTTGTACGACGTATTAAAAATCTGTGGGAATAGTTGTTTGAGTTTTAAAGCCAATGTTTTCAATTCTTTTACACCTTGATCATGTAATGAATAATGGTTTAGAGATGATAAATTTACGTTCCAGTTACGAATTGCATTGATGTCTTCCCAACACATAGGCGATAATGACGAAATATTGCTTTTCAACAAATTTAATTTTGTTTTAAATTCCATTATCATTTCTTTTGAAGGGTAACGAGTACCATGCCTGGACATCATCCATATTTGTACAGCATGACAATCTGTGATATGTTTATAAAACAAAATAGATAATTAATGAATACTAGCTAACTATTTAATCATCAACTCTTTTGCCTGTATTTCAATTATTTGGGGTCGATTTTACCTTACAATTATTTGACAACTACTGTCGGCAAGGTTGTTAGATTTTAATACACAGTGTTTAAAGTGCCAAAAATGTCAACATTTACATTAGTTTTTTAGGACTTATTAAACGTTTTTAACTATTTACTTATGTTTTAAACCGGTTAAAAAACCAAGTTTTTTAACAACCCTGACTGGCGCAACCTCATAATGGCTGCTTAATTGTTAAAAAATTAAATTTTTTTGTATATAGTTAGATTAGTGATTATATTAGGGGGAATAAATCACGAGCTAAGCGTTTTTATTATGATAGGCCGGTCAAAAATTTACGTCGATCTAATATAATCTAAAATGACGCCTTTGCGTCATGGACATTTATTCCAAAAATATTTATTAAATAATTTATTACGTCATTCCACATGAACTCCTTGTAAGTAATTTTAATCATACACATTTTTGACAAAATAGCACTGAAGCGTAATTCAAATTTTTATCAAAACATGTTATACAAATGCGTGTATTAAAGGAGCGATGGTGTAACCATAGGGAGAGGACTAAAGCCTTTTCATTAAACAATAATAACTATTAACAGTATGACTTTGGTGTAAGAAAGAGCATGTGATAAGCCAAAAAAGGTCTTTAGCACCCCCCAAGTTAAATTTCTAGCTACGCCACTGAGATTGAAAATAGAAATGGCGAAAATATTTACCTATTCAAGATACAATTTAAAAGATATTTTTTATCTGTACATCATTTAATGAAAAAAACTTAGCACATACACTTTATGGGACATAGTTTTCAATGCCATAAATATATTGTGTCGTAACGAATGTCTACTTTTTTTTAGTCAGCCCCGGCCCTATTTACATGAATTATTTGTATTACAAAACAACGGTGCAACCACCAATTTTTTCAGGGAAAGAGTTATAATTATTTCATGAATATTTTATATTTTTTGTTAATCTCCAAAGTTTTTCTGTATTGTTATTTTTTAAATTTGAACAATAAAAAAAAAAAAGGTTATTTGACAATTTCATTTTGTTTGTATCGCTAAAAAAGAGCCAAGCACGACAAAAAATACAAACATAGCTATTCATTAGGTGGAAGGGCGCAATATCCTTTGGTTTCCCTACTGTCACAAAATATTGTAATTCATAATTAATATGTTTATTAAATTACATAATACGTAATCGACAATACAGACATTTTGGATATGCTAAATTAACTATTTTTAATTTTTACAAAAAAAATATATATTTAATTATCGCATGTCAAGTAACATGTACTATAATTAATTTACATAATTAGGAATATTTAAATTTTTTAGTTAACCTAGATATTTGATTTATCCCAATCAGGCTATGGGCATAGTGACTTGTGATTATCAGGATAATATTGCAAACAATTTATCTACTATATTCTCATATTTATTTACTCTATTAAAATATATAATCAAATCTAGGTTAAGACATGTTGAGTCATTGGTCTGGAGGTTCTAAGAAGGTCTTTCATAAAATCTTAGCCAAAAAAATGAAATAACAATTTAAAAAAGTCATAATTTGTTTATTTTTCACTAATTCAGCACATAAAGTTTAATATAGTCTCCGAAGAGGTGCCTATGTCAAATTTATTGTATAATTGTATAATATAGTATTATAATCATAAAAAATTATTTCGCAACTATTACTGTAAAAACAGTAATAAAAAAAATCTATTTGGAAAAATTATTCCATTACATTTTTATCTCAGTCTATTGGATGCAATTTTCAAAACTAAGTGTAGGGACTTAAATAATTTCATACCTGAAGGTGTGTTCAGATCTGTACCGGATACAAAGCTGTAGGACGTTTTAGACCCAAAAAATGAATATGGTTTCTGATTCCTTTGGTAACATGTCTCTGTTTGGAATGTTTGATGTACTAAAAATACTGTAATACCAGCCAATATAACTAATAAAAAAGATTTTATCGAATGCATTGCGAATAATACTTGTAGTAGTCGTTCACACATATCAATGTCCTTTGTGATACTAACGAGTAACGTTTGTCCATATAGGAAATTAGTGCCTAGTATAGTTTAGCCTTAAACATACATTTGGTGAAGGCATGTTAATTTTCTATATTTATATGGGTTGGTGAATTATGACGTTACTATGCAACAAAGTTCGGTATGCGTACTTTACGAGCTAAAAATTATTTAAAATACAATTAGGTTTCAATATATGACGTTAAATGTCAAAAATTAACTTGGATTTTTATTGTATTATACTACTAGTCGTTAATTATTAGTGCATTTTAGTACAGTTTAAATATTAAGAGTTTGAACTATTAAGATTTTAAATACTATTAGATTAGATTATAGATAAATACTATAATAGAGCTGAACCGATATCAATTATATGTATCAATATAAAACACAAATCAATAAAATAATCATAGGGTTTTTTAAAAGTATTAATTATATTATTATATTTGAATTATATTTCATTAGTGAAATTTACAAATGAAAATGTTTTAGCTAGTGGAGTATCTAGAATTTCCTGAGAAGGTTTTTAAATAAAAAAAATGTTTTTTATCTGCACTTCTTTATATTAAATTTATGCAAATTTTTTGGTCTTGGATAGGTTTTTATCCCGAAACTCGTCTTTGTAGATATTCTCCTGATTTTGATTATAGTCATTAATACATATTTTATCTTTTTTTGTATTATTGCAAGGATACAATTTTGCTTAGCGAATAATTTCATTATTCAAAAATCTGTTTTACTGTTTGATTAGTTTACAGCGTGACATAATTTGCGTGTCATTTATTTTAAGTTTGCGTTGAGTTAAATTTTAATAAATGAAAAATTTATTGAACATATTAACCGTATTGATTCGTTTAAGCCGTCAGCATAAATGTTTACTGAAATGCCAGTAAATTACTCCACCTACTTAATATTTAATGGATAATATTAAATGTATTCATCAAACTAAGTGTCTATCATGACTAAGACATGACACGCCTTGTGTCAACATAAAGAAACTTGAAATAAAATTCGTAAACATGAAAACTGTTAAAAAATTCTTTTGATTGCGTACATTGAACTTTAAGTGAGGTGTCTGACTTTATGCTTTACACTTCAAGTTTGAAAAGCACACTAACTTATTTATGTATTTAAAAGTTGATTATATAAGTCAATGGAATCATTGCCATTCACTAAGATTTTCGACATTTTGTAAAGCAGCAGTATCTTACGTATCTTCTAAAAACTCGAAAAATTGAACAAATGACTATTCAACTAAGGGTTTAATTTGATTAATTATAAAATGGAAAAAAAATGATGGGTAAAACATGAAAGTTATACTGAAAGGGCAACATTTACAATACTCATAAAGTCAACAAGTTTTTTTAACTTTTATTACTTCGAAAGAAGTAATATAAGATCAATTAAAAGCTAATTAATATACATTGTAAACTCAAATTAGCGTTAAGAAATAAAAAATCTATTTAATTAAAAAAAATTATGATAGTTAAAGTAAGGTAACGCACAGTGTGGACGTGTCATAGTTGGGATAAGTGTAAATGATTTCTTTACGGGGAAATTGTAAAAAAAATATAAAGTAGTTGTTACTTTTATGGCAAACGTGAATACAAATTTAAATAGCATGATACAATACTTTAAAAAAAAAAATGTTGACACTTATAAATAAATTCATTAGTGTACAGTACAAGGAACTTTCATCAGAATCAAAAATATATTTTTCTAAATCAACTTTTCGCATTGTTTTCAAATGTGCAATTAGACTTTTTCTATCATCTAATTTTTGATATTATTACTAAATAGTAAAAAATAAGTATTTGCATATAAAAAAAATTGTTTTCAAATTATTATTGATTTTGATTTTTGATATGTTAAAAATAATCCGTGCAAAATGTCATTTTAACCTATTTTTTGGACCTTTAAAGTTGATTTTTATGAAAGTTTATAATAAAAATAAGTTGAATTGAATAAATTGACATCATTAAATAGAAAAAAATAGTATTGCTAAGATTAATATGCTGTCTGTAAATTTTATAATTACTATTTACAGTTAATTTATAAGAAAAGCTTAAAATTTCGTTAAAATCATTATTTCTTTTTTTTTTTTTATCATAATAAATAATTTTAATAGAAACCATAGTAATCATTTCTATATAACTCTTGGTTAATCTAAAATTGAAATATTCAAAACATAATTAATTTTATTTATTGATTTACTTTAACAAAAAGACTAATTTTTTCCTTACAAAAAAAATTTTCAAATCATTTGATTTTTATCTCATTCAGATTCAATAACTTTAATAAATATCAAGAATCGCATCACTGTAGTGCCCCTCTTTTTTTTTTTTTTACATGATCGGCATTATTGTGGGCCGCCCTGCAACTGCCGTGAGCATTACTTCAGGGCGACCCACACCGTCTATAACTCACACCTCTACGTTGTGAATCAGCCCGAAATTAATCAAGAGCTGATTTGCAACGTGATGTGGCCCCCTCTCATTAACCGGATCCCAGTGTGGGAACCGTTAGGGAGGGTTGGCAAAATAACTCACAAGACAAAAAACATAACACAAAAATAAAAACGTGGACCCTAGTCGGGACTCCAAAGAATCCCGCTACTGGGCCCACGCCACGCACCGGAAGAGGGTATGCAGAGCGCTATCAGCCTCTCCCAGACGATCCGAACAGTGGTCGCACGTCGGCGCGGCTGCTTTACGAATACGGTGCAAGTACTCGTTAAAGCAGCCGTGGCCGGACATCACTTGGGTGAGACGATAAGTCATCTCATTGTGAGTCCGGTCCAGCCGATCGGGTCCTATGAGGGACCTGGTACACTCGCCTCTCGTCGTTTCCTCCGAGAGCCGAGTCTGCCACCGGAGCATGGTCATCCGTCCAAACCGGGAACCCGTACAAGAAGACCGAGTGTACGACGCTGACTAATAGTCTGCTCCGCAACTCCCTCAGCCCTCTCAGATTGAGCATGAGTCCCGCCAGGCTATTCATGACTTTCTGGGCCTACTGGGCACACAAGTAATGTGCGTCCCGAACTTAAGACGTTTGTCTATGACCAGGCTCAGCTGTAGTCAGGCACGTAGCCAGAAAATGTTTATTGGAGGGGCCAACAATTTTGGGCCCTTGTATCATTTTCCATAATTTGTTTACCATGAAAAGCTTGTGGGGGTCCCTATATATATAATAAAATAGTACATTATGTTAGCTTTAATTTAAGATATAGATAAAAGTGTCAGACTTTCCGGAACGTTTTAAAAATTTAAGTGAAAAAAGTTAATTTTTTTTGAAAAAGTTGTCATTTTAAATCCCCCCCGTGGGCAGGTAAAGGGTCAGATTTATAAAAAAAATATATCAAATGAAAAGTAACGATATCATATAACTATATAAAAAAGTTATGGCAATTTTTGAGGGTAATGTCTTCGACTAGATACGATTTGTGATCTTTTGATGTATTACTGAAAGAAATGGGTTCAGTGAGAGCTGAGAAAAAGTGGTAACAGACACAAAAAAAAAACACATCTTAGTAAAACCAATACCTTCTCAGCTTCGCATCGAAGCTAAAAGAAACAAATTAAAGATATGATTTATCAAAAAATTTTTCATAGAGTATACTCTATCGAATTTTGTAATCAAATAGATTCTAATCAATGCAGATACTTGGTAGTTTGTTATCATTTGTTAGACCAGAGTTAAAAAAAATTTACCTACAACCACGTTTGGAGTAATTGCTATTCCATTTATTATTACGTCTAGAACATTATCTTTTTCAAATAACGTTTTCTATGAATATAAAAATGAAAATACAGCCATAATAATAACTGTATTACTCAATAGTAATCACAAATTAATAATAATTTCAATGTATATAAGGCCTAGCACGTTTTTAATAATTCGTAAAAATAATTGAATTTTAAATTTGGGGGGGCCGGCTCTGGGCCACATTAAATTTAAGGGGGGCCAGGCCCACCCAGGCCCACCCTTGTCTACGTGCCTG